TTGGAAATGTTCCCCAGCCAAGAATGAGCTAAAATGTCATGAATGAGTGTGATTTTAAAATTTCAATGCTTGCTGCACTATCTTTCTTTCTTCTTCTTCTTCTTCTTCTTCTTCTTTTTTTTTTTTTTTTTTTTTTTTTTGGGTCCATTTTGGAATCTTTACTTAATTCGATGGTTTTGAATTCAACATCAGTTGGGTGTATTTGAGCAGTTTCCCTTTCACAATTTTAAGATATCTTTGATTGAAGGAGCTGCAAATGAAAGAAATAGGAATAATTTATTTCCAATATTATCATTCATTCCAAATGATTACATTAATTGAATGACTTGATCAGTATGTCGATGAATGGAGGTTCCCAATCATAAGTCTCAGTTATAGAAAAAAGAATTGCTCATCACAATGATTCCAATTGGTTTAACAACCAGCTTGAAGAGGACTGAATTGGGAGTAATTTTATTTTCAGACATTAATTTCCCTCAGTTCACACTTTATGATTTTTTTTTTTTAATACAATTGTCTTAGAATAAAAACACCATAATACTTTTATCTTTTTCCACCCAAACTCTAATTCTAAAACACCATAACCATCCTTCATCACTAGTGCCACCTCTCTCCTCCGTCGTCCTCTTCCGTTGCCTCTTTCTCCCTTTACTTGCAACCACCTTCCGCTATGAACCATACACTCTCACAAGCCTTCCGCCACGGACCACCCGCCTTCAAGGTTGACTGTGGACGTCTAGAATGGAAGGGGGTGAGCTAGGAGTGGTGGTGGTGGTAGTGGTGGCAATGGAGGGCTGAGAGTGGCCGCAACTGAAGCTAAGGATGAGTGAGTGGATTGAAAAAAATTAGGGTTTCGAAATTGAGAATAATGATATTATTGGAATAAAGAAATGTGTATTAAGATTTTTTTTTTTTTTTTTGGATGTGTGTGGACTAAGGGAAATTGGTGTGTAAAAATAGAATTATCCTGAACTGGTGATGAACTAAGATCCAATAATTCCACCTATACCCTCATCAAAACGAATTCAAGACTTGAAAATGGGAAATAGTTGCCCAAGCCCAAGTCCCTACTAGATTCCTAAACATCAATTAGGAGAGGGACATAGTTGCCTACTTCGTCAAATTTTCCTTCAATCATCACACCAGTCTGTGTCTTTGTGGGGTACTCACCAGGAACATGAGGCAACGACAAAGACTCTTTGCGTGAAGAAGGGGGTGTCCAATATAGCAGACTAGGTGCCATTGGTATTGATCTACTCCAATCAACACACCAGTTGTATTGTATGAGCTTTTATGATCCGTCCACTGAATTTAGGGACCATTTGTATATTTTATATGCGCTTTCCATACACATTACATTGACAGAAAGATCAGGAAAAAAAAAAACTAAACTTCACTGTAACTGCAAGAGCTTAGTTGAGGTTAATCAAGCTGATTAACAGTGCTGACCATTTGTGGAATATATCATCTTCTTCTTTTTTTTTCAGAGTATCAATTTGCACACATATTACATAACACTAACATGTTATTGATCAATTACATAGTATGTGTAAATTAGATGCTGTCTTTTTCATCACTAATTAAGGAGGTGGTATGCAAAGGGATGGCAAAGGATAGGGTGTTTCGGGTTTTGGGCTCAATTTTTTGCTTTTAAACTCAATTGATACAATTTCATACTTTACTATAAACTTGACAGTTTGACTTACCTATAATTATACTTTACCCTACCCAATCAATACTCTTTCAAACCATTTATATCAAAATCGGGGTGGAATAAATACAATTGGGTCGGTTTGACTTACCTATAATTATACTTTACCCTACCCAATCAATACTCTTTCAAACCATTTATATCAAAGTCGGGGTGGAATTAGTCGGGGAATTTTGCTATCCCTTGCAACCATTCAATAATTGTGACCAACCTATCGAATGAAGCATCTCAAAGCCTTCTAAATTATTAGCATATATATAGATATATTACTGTCAACAGTACTTAATGACTCAGATTGATGCATACAATTCCATTCATAGATTGACTAGGTCTATACCGTGTTAATTGGATGATGAGAAAGAAGAAGAAAGTTTTGGCAGTTGTGTAGACTCGAATGTCATAAGCAGAAGCAGATTGTTCAAATGTGGACTCGAATGTCATAACAAAAGTGAGTCTGCGTGATTGACAGAAAGCAAAATATCATTAGGAATCATTCAAACTCGTGAAAAATTCGGAGGCAATTGGAAAAATATTTAGAGCATGGCACACCTAGAAATTTTGTGAGTCAAGGCAAGCGGACCAAGAAGGAGAAAAAAGAAAAAAAAAAGAAAGAAGAAGTTACATTAAATTTATTTTTGCTACACTAACTACACTAAAGATGGGATATGTATTGGATGAAAAACATATTTTATATGAATAAAAATAAATAAATTTATCAGTCATTTCTTATTCTATTTTTTTTTTAATTATGTCATCAAGAAGAGCTCACACATTAAATCTATTAATTGCATCGGCTACCTACCCAAGTTTTTCTGAAATTATTGTGAGATTTGGCTACTCATCATGTGTTTGCTGTCATGGTTGGGATGAAGTAGCAGTTCAGGATTTTTCTTTTGAGATCTCTTCATTGTCAATGTCATCATTCAAATTTACTGGTTTCATAAACCAATTTAGATTTCAAGTCAATATCAACAAATTATTTAGGATAATTCCCTCTTAATACTTGCCAACCACTAAAACCATCTCATCATACAACTCAATCTTCTTGTTAATCAAGAGACAATTTAATTATATATTTGGACTAGCTATTATTACCATCTTCATTGTCTCATCCCATCCAAATCCTGTTTTACCTTTGATATCTTCATGCACTTTTCATTGTTCTGTGACAATGTTCGACATGATTTGACAAGCATTGCACTATAATTTCTTTGATATGGCAAAATTTGACATCCGAGTGTTATTTCTTTGATAAGCAAACAATTGTTCTGATCTCATTTTAAAAGTGTTATTTAAGGCTTGTATGAATTATTTAAAACCTCACGTGACGCACAAGATTTTCCAACAACACTCTTCCTATTGCTTTTGTCCACCTCAATTGTTTGCTCTTGCTTTCACTTTTTTTGGAGCCTAGGAAAACTAGTTGCTTTAACTTCAACACAAAACACACAAACAGATACTGCTTGGATGAAAAAACAGAGTCAATGATTGGAAAGAGTTGCTTGAAAAATTGTTCATGCAAAGCAGCTTTCATTGCATATCACGTGGGCAATGATTCAAAGAAAGGCAGTTTATTACTGTCTGAAGTCTTTTCACTTATAAATAATGAGGGAGGGGTTGATTACATTATTGTATTTCTTAATGTGCACATTCTTCACCAATAGATTTTCCGCAAAAGAAATCAAGGCATGTCAGAATCATATTATGATCCAGTCTCAAAACTTTCTTTGGTGTATTGAAAAGAAAGAAGAATCCGATGAACTTGACGATTGATCAAGTACCGGGAATGCCTACCAGATTCTCTTACAAAGAATTGAGAGCCATGACAAGCAATTTCAATAATAAGCTCAGGGAAGGAGGATTTGGTAGTGTTTCAAAATATATTAAGTGATGGCACCAAAGTAGCACCAAGAGCTCACACTTGGGTGGCAATCCAGAAGAAAGATCATCATAAATAAAGCCAAGAGAATAACCTATCTCCATGAGGAATGCAAACTGAAAATATTTCACTCAGATGTCAAACCCCAAAACATCCTCTCAGATGAATACTTCAATGCGGAAATTTCTTATTTCAGATTGTCATAACTAATCGATAAAGACCAAAGCCAAGTTATAGCAACTTCGAGGGGAACACCAGGCTATTTGGCTCCTGAATGATTGAGCTCAATTATCACAGAGAGTAGATGTCTATAACTTTGGTATCATGGTCTTAGAGATGTTGTGTGGGTGCAAAAATTTAGATGGGAAGATATTAATTTACTAAGTCTATTTAAAAGGAAAGCAAAAGGACTTATCGATATTGTTGACAAAGACAATCATGAAATACAATTACATGGAACAAAAGTAGTGGAGATGATGAAGGTGGTTGTGTGGTGTCTACGAAGTGATTTTTCCAACATGCCTTCCATGTTGGTTGTGGTTCTGTGGATGTTGAAAATTGCTTGGATTACAACCTTATAAATCCCGTGATACAAAGAACAATTGCAGATGCTGGTCACCAAGAGGATGCCATTGGTGCTTGTACTCACTATCATCTCCATCAGCTCTATCAGAACCGAGGTAAATAAAGAAGACTTCGATAAACAAAATTTTGCAGATTGATTAACTTGGAAAGTTTTTTCCTTTTTTTTTTTTTTTTAATGTTTTTTGAGGATGATAAGTTTTAGGATTTCAATTTACATTAGAAACATTGACATGTAAGGCCATAATTTTAGGTTGTTACACTTATGTCAATATCTATATAATAAGTCAAGAGTGTTTTTGAAAATGTCTTAAGAATGTATGTGAGATACATTTTGATCCCACAGTTTAGATCCATTCTAATAAAAATCAATGGTTGAGATGTGTTTTCCCGCCCAAACACTCGGTCCTCTCTCCTTCTCCTCAGAAATTCACCCTACCATCTATCTTATCTTATGAGAATGAGGTAGCCAGCGTTGGGTATGAGAAACTGCTAACAGCTTAGCTACAACTTAACTCATTAATTGGATAGAGATATGACGTGAGATCCTAAATATAAAGTGTTTGAAATGTTTCCAGGTAGGTGGGGGGATATGTCATGGAAAAGATTCATCAAATCAAGTAAGTAGATGTTCATTTGGTTCAAGTAAATTTATTAACTGAAAACACAGCACAGAACCTTATGCTGCCCATTGGCTCGAGAAGTGCTAATTACACCATTTGAAAAACCAACTACCACTAGAACCCTTCAAGCAAACAATGCAATAACACCAACTATTTAGGAAAGTGAAATTTCTATCCAACATAAGAATAAGATACCATAAAGTAATGAACTAAACAGTCAGCAGAGGCAACCCATTACCTTGATTTTTTTAGTAAGCCACAGCAAAAGCAAGATATTAGCATCCAAACAAGATACTAAGAAACATTTTAACTTCCTAAGAAAATAGCATGTATTTAACTAGAAGAAGGTACTCAGCAAACCTAAAGACAAGCTTCAAACGTATTAAGCATAACTGTTTGCATGAAGTATGCACGTTGTTCAACTAGACTCTCCTCAGGTCCATCATCTTCCTCTGGCAAAGCTGGTTCTCCCTCACTATTAACTGCATCAGAAGAATTTGTCGAGCGACCATCCACAACTTGAGTTCCTTCCTCGAGTAAAACTAGACTCTCCGTGTAATTATCCACCCAAAATGCATCTTTGCTGCCACGGACTCCAAGGTTTGTGATTTCTTGGCTCTCAAAGTCATATGAGACCAGCTCTCTACCCATTCCCAACAGCATTTCACCGTTCTTTCTCAAGCCAAGCATCAACACCAATCTTTCATCAAGATCAATTGTATATTGCTTACTCCAAGACCCCACCACCCCATATTCTTTCATAACCCACACCGTACAACTCTTACTGTATATCGGCGAATCATACTGTAGCACCGAAAGCGATTCACCCACTATAGCAGTCAACATGTTCCTAGGAAACTGATGAACCAGACTCAGTGGCAACTCAATCTCCCCAAAGACTTCATTACCCAAATCAAAAAACAGAACAAAACAACCACGAGTAACCGGGTCAATAAGCTTGTAAGAAACCCAATGAACCTTCCCATTCAAATAAGCTTGTGACCAAAAGTAATTAACCATGCCAAAACGCGGCACAACACCATCAAAATCCCTCCAAGAACGATTGCCGAGGACATAAATTTCGACTTGAGGAGGAACCTTAAACCCATTTTCTGATCCCAAATACGAAATCCTGACAACCTTGAAGTCATTTTTAATCAAATCAAGGCCAAACCCATGAACACACATAAAAGGGGAAGTTGATTTAGAGGTAACACGGGGCACAGGAAGGGTGAGAGAGCGGTGAATCGAAGGGTTCCAAAGAATGATGGTATTAGTGTAACCGAAGCAATCGTCGGTGAGACAGAGCAACCCATTACAGGACCCAACAATTCTGAAGTAGTATTTGAAGCGAGTCGAAGATGGGCATTTGAGGTCTAGGAATTTGGGGAAAGTGTGGTTGTTGAAGTGGAGTGAGAAGCGCTCTTTGCGGTGAGAGTAGTGGCGAAGAAGAATCAAGTTGAAGGTGGTGGTGGAGTGATTGAGGTGGGAAGTGATGAAAGAGGGGGTGGAGATGAGAGAGCGCCATGATTTGCATACGCACCTGAATCGGAGGAGAGAGATCACAGGGAGTCTTGAGAGGATTTCAATCAGTACCTTGTTAGGTAGGTAGTCCGACATTGTAGAGAGAGAGAGAGAGAGAGAGAGAGAGGGCTTGATTTTAGGGTTTTACACTTGTTCTACAGAGAGGCGTGGACAAATAAAACCCTAGGTTGTGTAGAGGAAACGAGAGAGTGTGTCGCGGCAAAGAAAATACTCCTTTTTTAAACGACGACGTCTCATTGAGTCGGGAAAGGCCATGACTTCAACAGTGGCTCGCCACGTGGCATATGCTTATAGGAGGATTGCTTTTTGGTTTTTCTTTTTTTCTTTTTTTGAAAATTATAAATCAATCTTATTTTTCAAAAAAAAATTTAAGAGATTTATCAAAAAAAATCTATGAGTTTAATTATTGTAAAATTTACTATGAATTTATAATTATTTTTAGGGTAAATTACACTGACCTCCCTAAGGTTTAGTCCAATTACATTTCACTCCCTGACATTTTGAAAATTACATTCTCACCCTTATGATTAATAGTTTCATTTCACAAACACTCTTACTTATATAAAACGCAACAACTCTTAATAAAAAAATAGAGAAAATTACATTGAAAAAAAAATAAAGGAAAGGAAATGGAAGGGAAAAAAAAACAGAGGAAGTAAAGTGTGAAAAGAAAAAATGTATGAGTTCAATTTCTTCATTCTGTCTAAATAATTACAATTGCAGGGGGTTAGTGTAATTTTTCAAACGTCAGAGGGTGATATGTATTAAACCCAAATCTCAAAGGTGTAAGTGTAATTTACCCTTATTTTTAAAATGTACACTGATATGTTATTTTTCATTTTTTTCATTATTGTATATACGGACGTATTTTTTATTTTTAATAAGGAAAATTACAATGAAAAAAAAAAAAAAACAAGGTCTGACAATAAATCCTAAGTTTTAATTATATAATTTTAAATCATAATTTTTTGATTTATTTTTAATCTAAATTAAGTAAAATTAACGAAAAAATAATATTTTAATTATTAAACTCAACTAAAAATTATATTTTAGACATTTCGTTTACATTTATTTTGAGTTTAATGATTAAATAATTTTTCCTATCAATTTTAAATAAACAAATAGTTTAGATTAAAAACAAATCAAAATTTTATAGTTTAATTTATTAAAATTAAAAATTCATAATTTATTTTGTTACAAGGATCAACCCCTAAAAAAAAATTTCTCGAAACTTCCCTTTTTTTAATATTTACATATTAATTGATATAAAATGATGACAAAAAAATCAATAATATCTACTTAGTGTCCCACATTATTAGTTCGGTTTTTTTTTTTTTTCTCAGATTTAAGAGTTCCAAAATGTTAAGCCTTTTCAAAAAAAAAAAAAAGTCAATGCAACGTATCTCAAAAACAATGAAGACATACAATAAAAATCACAATTACGAAGTCTTAACCTTCGAAGAATAAAGTGTAAAATTTTACAACTGAAACATAATTTTTTTTCAAATTTTCAAGGGAAAGTGCAACTTGCATTCTTTTTTTCTTTTTTTTCCTTCAAAAAAGTAAAAATAAAATACTCCATGATTTGCATACACAACTAAATCGGAGGAGAGAGATCACTGAGAGTCTTGAGAGGATTTCAATCAGTACCTTGTTAGGTAGGTAGTCCGACATTGTAGAGAGAGAGAGAGAGAGGGTTTGATTTTTGAGTTTTACAGTTCTTTTACAGAGGCGTAAAAAACTAAACTCTTAAGTTTTGTAGAGGAGAATGTGTGGCAGCAAAGAAAATACTAGATTCTATTTTAAATGAAAATGTCTCATTGAGAGGGGAAAGCGCATAATTTCAACCGCGGCTCACCACGTGGCATATGGTTATAGGAGGATTGCTTTTTAGTTTTTTGAAAATTATAAATCAGTCTTACTTTTCCAAAAAAAAAAATACAGATTTATCAAAAAAATCTATGAGTTTCATTATTGTAAAATTTACTATGAATTTATAATTATTTTTAAAATTTACACTGATATGTTATTTTTTCTTTTTTTCATCATTTTATATACGAAGGTATTTTTTATTTTTAATAAGGAAAATTACAATGAAAAAAAAAAAACAAGGTTTGACAATAAATCCTAAGTTTTAATTTTATAATTTTAAATCATAAATTTTTTATTTATTTTCAATCTAAACCAAGTAAAATTAGCAAAAAAATAATATTTTAATTATTAAACTCAACTAAAAATTATATTTTAGACATTTCATTTACATTTATTCTAAGTTTAATTATTAAATAATATTTCCTTTCAATTTTAAATAAATAAATAATTTAGATTGAAAACAAATTAAAATTTTATAGTTTAGTTAATTAAAATTAAAAATTTGTGATTTATTTTGTTACAATGATCAAACCCTAATTATATTTTTTTCCGTAATTTCTCTTTTTTAATATTTACATATTAAGTGATATAAAATGATGACAAAAAAACAATAATATCTACTTATTGTCTCACATTATTAGTTCTTTTTTTTTTTTTTCAAATTAAAAAGTTCCAAAATGTTGAGCCTTTCCAAAATAAAATAAAAAAAATCAATACAATGTATCTCAATTACAATGAAGACATATACAATATAAATCACAATTACATAAATGGACTCATTTTACTCCATATTTATCAAAAGTTACATACATATTTTATGGTCACTAAATCACAAAATTTGGAGTGCGATTATCAAAAAATAAATAAAAAATTGCAAAATGGTAATCCCCTTTTTCAAAATTATACTTTATAATTGACTAGAAATTTATTTAAAAGTGAGAATGAAAAAACAATTTCATAAAGATGAACATCCCATAAGGAATCAAATATTGTCAGTTTGCAACCAAATAAAAATTGCAACGTATAGGTATTCTGTATTATTTAAGCAAGAATCTCATAACACACGAGACGTATGCTTTTACTTGGCAAGTGAGAATAAATGGTAAAGTTCTAGAAAAGTGCAAAACAAATGTATTCTATTTCTCATTAGCAATAATAGTGCAAAAAAACTGAATGTTGAAAAGCACAAAGTTCACAGTAGTAGCAAACCCGCAAGGTTCATAGGCATTGTTTGGGCGTCCTAACATCTAATTTTACAATTTGATACCATGTGAAGAAACTCACACATATCCTGTGAATAATTACAATTTGATATATGTTTGTGCTTCTTTTTTTTTCCCCCTTTTTTTTTCCTATTCAAAAACAAAACACTCAGCCAGACCTAAATAAATACAAAACAGTTTTGGGAGTTCTCCTTGAAGAAGTTAAATTGTAAGAGCCTTTGGTTGTCTTGTCTCTAAATTGAAATTCTACAGTAATATTATATTTTCTATGAGATCTAATTCACATCAATTATCTTTCTATAGCAACCAACCGGGCCTGATTGTTTTTCTAACAACTATTTATTTATTTCAAAGTTTCGATATAAACAATTTAGAGTCTTCTAATTTTTTTGAAGGAAATGCCGACCCAATGGCATGCAAATTCTAATTACAACAAACACATCAGACCAAACCAAAATTTCCATTATTGGACACCCAAGAAACCAAGAAACCAATAAACAATTAGAATTGATGAGCTAGTTCCCTGAAGTTTACTTTCAGAAACTACATGCTTTTTCTAAAAAGGATTTAATGGTAACAATATCAATCTCCCTTAAGGTATCATACAGCTTCAGTGGTTCGGTATGCTAAAATAGTGTGCACGAGACAAATTTTATATCTCCTCAAATATTCTAATGGACCTTTCGTCATTTACAAAGAATATATGGCTCCTAATAAGTCAGAAACAGACAAGTATTTTGATGCAAGTTAAGGAATTCTCTGAAAACAAAGAGTTTAATGAAGTCATATATGGGGTAAATGCATTCATCAATTGTGTTTATATGAAAGCATCAGAATTTATCTTTGAGATCATTGATTGGCTTATCAAGCAACTTTCCTCCATATAAAATTCATTCAAAAGTACATGAGGAGATGTACCTTTTGACAAGTAAACTCATTCATAAACATATACATGAAAAGTAGTGAGAAATAATATGTAAGACAGCAAAAGGATAATATAACGCCTAAAATATACCTAGAAGACAACATGGCAAGAGAAAATATCAAGCATGTTCATCAAACCTTCATTGGAAAAGGGCTCTTTTTTTTTTAATATGTAACTAGTAAGCAAAAAGGACATTAGCCATCTATTTGTCAAAACACTCCACTGTGTATCAAAACCTAAGATACTATTCACTAGTGTCTAAGACAGAGACTAGGATTACTAATCTATTCAGAGAAGAGATAGTCAGATTATGCAGCTTACTACTACCGATACTTACATGTTTATGGCCCAAAAACTAGATTGATCCTAATTCCAAAGTGGGAACTCCAACAGGCTACCAGTTATATAAGAAGCTGCAAAAAGAAAATTCCTCTTCAAGGCTATTTCGAGTGTGCTCTCATCGACTTCTTCCTCATTTGTAACTTTAGGCAAAACAGGATCAGTGTTCACCTTCCCCTGCAAGTCCCCATTTGATCCATCGAGCAAAACAAGGCTCTCCACATAGGGACTGGCATAAAATGAGCCTTTGACACCACGCAATCCATGTTTCTCAATGCGATTGCTCTCAGGCTGATACGAAACCATATCTCCACCTCTAGTCCCCATAAGCAATTCGCCACTCTCCCTAAAACCAAACACCAACGTTAAACCTCCCTGAAAGTCAACATTATATTGCTTCGTCCAGGATTCCACAACACCATAGTCTTTCATCACCCATATGGAAACACATTTACAGTTTGCACTATTATCAATAAAACTCACCGCGATCATAGTCCCAACTAAATGAACTCCCAATTGCAACAGGAAACTAGGAGCCACTGTTTCTGGGAGCTCAATCTCATCGAATAATTCATCACCAAAACCAAATGATAAAATCACATTATGGAATTTACCATCCCCAACTCGCTTGTATGCAATCCAATGTGCAAAACCATTCAGAAAAACATGTTCCCAGAAATACTCAACCATATTATATGAAGGAACACCACAAGTCAGGGCTTTCCAACAACCGGTTTTAAGCGAGTAAACCTCAACTTTAGGAAGAGGAATTGCATTTTTTCGCCTCTCAAAGTGAGAAATTCTAACTACCTTATAGTCATTGGTTAGCAAATCGAAGCCAAACCCTAGAACAGACATGTAAGGACTATAGGAATCGAGAGAAAGACTGGGTTTTGGAAGGGCTACATACCTTCGAATCATAGGGTTCCAAAGGATTATATTTTGTTTGTCACCAAACCGATCGTCGGAGAGACAAACCAAGCCATTACTTGATAGAAGTGGGTTTTGAATGGAGAAGTGAATTGGGCGTAGTGGTTGAAGGTTTTGTTGTCGAAACGCAATGAGTAGTGTTCTTGATTGGGATTGAGACAAGTGTATCTGAGTAGGAGCAAGTGAGTGTGAGTGTTGTTGGTGGACTTGTTGAGGTGGCTGTTGATAAAACTAGGGCTGGTGATGAGAAATCGCCATTGTTTCGACACACACGTGAATCGAAGCAGAGATTTTACAGGTAATCTGGAAAGAATTTCGATCAATACCTCTTCGGGAAAGTAGCCCGACATTGTTGAGGCTATCAGAATGAGAGTGTCTAGCTTTGACTTCGCCTTTTTTTTACCCTGATCATTATTTTATTTATTTATGATTATTTTCATGGAGTTGGTTATTTAGGGGTTCTTTGGAATGACTTAAATAAGTATATTTTTTTTTTTTTTTATAAAAAGATGTACAGAAAAGTAGAGAGGTGATGTGATGAAAAAAAGATAAAAAGATGGATTATTTGAGGTATGCCAAACTTGGCCTAATTCTTTTATCATCAGCTTATTCAGGCCAAGTTTGGGAAGTCTCAAAAAAGTCAAAAAGTTAAAAAATTATTGAAAATTTTAAAAAGTTATCATTATTCATCAAAAGTTAATAATTACGAACAATTACGGCTGCACAACTGCCAATACTAATTTTCCCCTACACATTAATTTATACGATTTTTTAATACATATTTTTTTTATAAAAAGTCAAAAAGTTAACCCAAACATTCATATTTCCAACCTCAACTTTTTAGTCTAAAAAGATAAAAAGTACACTTATTTAGGACACCCCAAACAATCCCTTAGTATAGTGTTTTTATTAGAGAAAGTTGTATTTTTTTTTTTAGATAGATATTAGAGAAAGTTGTTGAAAAATCTAATTTAAGAAGAGTATAAAGTATTAAGTTTATCATTTATGAAATAGTTTGGTGAGATGTCATTTTATTAGTTTTGAAGGACATTTTGTTTTTAATTTTACCTATTAATTTATTTGTTGACTGTTTTTATCTATTGACTTATGTTGAATATCTATTCAAAATTTTTCCATTTGTTCAAAAATTTTCCCCTTATCTATTCAAATATCTGTCCAAATTTTATTATCTATTTAATTTTTCACTTATTTGTTCAATTTTTTATCTATTTAATTTTTTTTATCTGTTCAAAATTTTAACATATTTTATTATTATCTGTTTCTCTCATCCTTATCTGTTCAACACAAAAATAAAACAAAAATAAAAAATTATCTCTTTGATTTTGATCATCATAGTCATAGTCGTTATGATTATCATCATCATCATTATCAATAACAACAACACAACCACAACCACCCTATCTATTACAATATCAAGCCAATCCAAACCTACTTGTTCAATTTTTATTTATCTGTTAAAACCTCTCTAACTCTCTCTGTCTCTCTCCCTATCTGTTACAATTTATTTCATCATTATCTTTGTCAATAACTACAAAAAAACAAATAAATAAATAAACATTGAAGATCTGTTTAATGGTATTACAGATTTGTTTCATCATCACCAACAATATTCATCAACAACAACAATAACAAAAGATCAACAACTATCAACAACAAAAAAAAAAAAAAATGTAAATAGAGAGAGAGAGAAAGAGAGACAATGCCATCTAGAGGCTCACAAGCAGCCCAAAAGCCCAACAATCGCTTCACTCGGATTTTTGCCGACTTCTTCACTTTCCCTCAATATTCAGTACGCCTAACCACTGTATTAACAGTTTGCTGGCGGATACAGCCAACGAGCCGATGAAGGGAGAGCCGGTTGATGGCATTAGCCGAGATAGAGGTGAGCATGAAGATACTGCCAAAGCTCGAATGTAGATCTACAAAGTAGAAGTGCAGATCTGGAGACGTTGTTCTAAGCGAAGCTAAGGCTGATGATCTGGTGCCGAGATGCAGATGACAGCAGTGAAGCCAAAGGAGGCATAAAGGACGTCGAAGAAGAATGTCTTCGGTGGTTGTGGTGGTCATTGAAGCCACCGTCGTTAGTTGCAACAATGTCGAACTCTCGGCTGTTCAGATAGGCGTAGAGGTGAAGTCGAGAGAGAAGATAGGCGAGAGGAGAGAGAAAGGTTTGGGGGAAACATAGATAGAGAGAGAAAGAGGGGTTTGAAGTAGGGGTGAGTAGCAGATATTTCGATCTACCCAAACCGATCGAATCGAACCAATCCGTAGCATTTTGGACAGCTGCTTGATGACGAGTGGACAGTTGCAGATTGATTTTTATCAATCCGCCTAGTTTTGGACGGATGGCGGATTTGAGGTTTCTTTGGACGCAATTGAATCACCAAACCGCGAGCACATCTAGTAATTTGTAAAACTTTATATTTTCAATTTGCTTAGATATTTTGTTTATGTTTTCAATTAAAAAGAGTTTAGATATTCTGTTGTATTTTCAATTTGGAAATCCTTTTATCAAATAACAAGTGTCGATATTTGGTATTTTTGTGTGGAAAATATAAAGCTTAATTTTGTCATTTTTTTTAAAAAAAAATCAAATTAAATAGTTTTTGAATAAAAAAAAGTCATGAAATAGTTTTGATAATGCATGGTTTTCTTATATGTATTTTTTTTTTGGTATTTGACAATTTACTTGATAATGTTTTGGTTATGTTGAGTTGGATTGTTATTCAAAAAAAAATAAGTTGTATTATATTCAAAATTTGTAAATGTTTAAACCGCCAAACCGATTCGCATCCATCCGCTAATCCGCATTTGTCAATCCGATGGACGGCTGTGAATTGATTTTTTCTAACCCGCCAATCAGGTGAACGGATGACGAATTGGAGATTTTTTTAGCCACAAATAAACCACAAACACCCCTAGTTTGAGGTAGAACAAAAGGCGTGGTTTTAAATGTATAGGTAGTTTAGTAATCTTGTCCTTATGGACATAGTGTTTTAGGGGTAATTTTATTTTCACACACTAATTCCATTCAATTTATACACTTAATGAAAATTTTCATTAATATAATTTTGTCTTAGAATAAAAATGTCATAATTCCATCATCTTCTTCTACTCAAACCCTATTTTTAAAATACCACAACCATCCTCTATCGCCAGCGCCACCTTTTTTATCCGTAATCCCCTCCCTCCGCCTCTTTTCTTATCTACCTATGATCACTTTTCATCATGAACCATACACTCTCATAAGTCTCTCACCACAAATCACTCAATGTTGTCTGTGGATGTCTAGGATGAAGGGGGATGAACTAGAAATGGCGATGGTTGTGGCGATGGATGGTTGAAAGTGACGGCAACAATAGTAAAAGATGAATGGATGCATGAAGAAATAAAAAATAAAAAATATTAGACTCTGTTTGGTATAGTTTTAAAATATGTTTTCAAGTTTCAAAAAATTGATTCAAAAATTGAAACCAAACATAGCCTTAGGGTTTAAAATTGAAAATGAGGGTAATATTGATATATAAAGATGTGTACTGAGAATTTATATTTTTATAATATGTATATTGAGAAAGTGTTCATTAAGTGTGTGTACTGAAGGGAATTAATGTGTGGAAATAAAATTACCTTATATTTCTTAAAATTTATTTTACATTTTTTACCCATTGATTTAATAAAAATAATTAAGATAATATTGAATATATAGTATATATACTTATCATATTATCAACAATTTTATTGATGGCTTAGTGATTAAAGTGTTTACTTCTTATGTGATTGATTCCATGTTTACACCCTCTCCACAAACTTATTTTTGTCTAGCAATAGAGGAATTAATCACTAGTGATATTATTACATAAACGCAACACTCCTGACTGTAAACAGTATCATATTGCAGGACTTGAAAGGAGAATACCATGAAAAATAATTTCACATGCCAAAATCCAATTCAGAACCAACAAGTGCGTTCGGCTTAGATTGGGCTAGTCCAAGTCGAACACGTTTGCCAATTTCTCCTAATAAAAATCATTGCTTCATTTTCGTACCAAAGAAAATCCTTTGCAGATACAAAATGGAAACACTTTCAGACAGTTCCTAGAATGTAAAGGAAAACACATCGAGGCCAAAAAAATATACAGTGGACAGCAAAATGAAGGTAGAATCAGAGTAGGGCACAACACTCACTAATCACAGAAAGCATCTTTTACGAAGATTAGGATCTGGGACAGAGCACATGTTGTAGTGTCTTCTTCCATCATCATCTCTTGTAAGCACTGTGATTTGCCGATTTGCATTTGAATAACAAATCTCAACAGGAAATAACAAAGTTAACCCGCTGAAATTAGAGGTGCATCCATGGTAAATCAGCAATTTAGGAGCTTGCACTTCCGGTTGTAGCGTGCAACCAAAAGGATATCTTCAGATAATGCAATTTCACAACTTTGTATTAGGCTTTCATCGACAAATCTATAATTATAACCAGAAAAAAAATAAAAATAAATAAACCATTATCCACACTCCCAAACATTTCCAGGGTACAGTTCTAATAAAAAAGCTCACAATTTTTCACATTGAAGAAACAAGACAAATGATTGCAATTCCTAATGTTACGAGATTCTAAGCAACTTCCGAATTTCAACTAGTGGTTTCTGTTTCAATCAATTGAGTTTGCAGAAAGAACCAATTTTTACAGAGAAGAAAAAGAACAGAGCATCGTAATCTCAGCTATGGTATTCATTAATGGAAAAGAGACGACATACTAGACAACAACTCTCCTCTACCCCTTTTCTTCTACAAGAATCAGTGAGGGCATAAACTGTCTTTGTAACTAATAAATGATACTTGAACCAATACAAATGTACCATGTGGCTTATTTATCCTAGCTCAGCACTTAAGCCAAATTATCAGCCACATGTTTTTTTTCCCATTTCAAAATTGCAACGATCCTTGACCTGTATCAGGCAAGGACCTCCAAACTGAATAAAAATCTCACCAGCCTACATATAATTTTGCCAAAATCTATATAATTTTTACTTTGGCCCCTCCAAAATCAAGATAGTTTCAGAACCACCCACACAAACTTCATAAAAATCTCCTTAGCCCCATTCAGATTTTAGTATTTATAAAATAAAATAGCAATTTGGTCTCCAAAATCTATATTATTCTTATTTTGGCACATCCAAAATCTAAATAATTTTATTTTGGCATTCCCCTTTGCAAAATTTATGAGTTCACCACTGTGTGTGTGTGTTTGTGTGTGTGTGTGAAAGAGAGAGAGAGAGAGAGAGAGAGAGAGAGAGAGAGAGAGAGAAACTTGTTGCGTATTCCTTACATCCTATGAGTTACAACATACAGACAGAATAGTATCACTTAAATTTGGTCAGACTTTCACCTTACTTTCAATTACGAACCCACAAGGGTTCCAAAGACACAAGCTTCTCATTTCGTATATGAACTGGTGGAGTGCTCAGAAGCGGTGCATGCACAGTTATTGGAAGCACCCACTCGCACTTGTCTCTTCCATCCATCAGAAGAGGATGCTCAAATCTGGCATGAAAGAACAAAAAGGAGTTGAGGACAAGAATTGAGTGACAGAGTACTCAACTACAGCTAAAACAGTGAGTGCTTACCTAAATACCAATCACAAAATAGCATTTCAAATTTTAAAGAAACTCAAAATGGTTGAAGTTTTATAAACACTTTATTTTTTTTTCTTTTTGAAATTTTGGTAATTCTTACTGGAGTACCCAGCAGGGAACTGGACTAGTTGAGTAGGACAATTTGGATCAGGATCAACCATGTTTGTTCCTGAGAAAGCTTTTGAAACTAGGTGAACCATGCAAAAATAAAGAACTTGTGAGTGGAATGTAGTGATGACAAGGTTGATCTTCTGAGTTTAACCCAGTACACAGGAGCTTCATTGGCAAGACTGATCTGTTAGTAGTAGCTCAGCAACCAACCCAAATGCCACAAAAGGGAACGATTAGACCCTAGGTAGAACCATCTTTTTGGTACATCAGAGGCCGTAGCCAGGGGAGGGGGAAGTCTTGCCTATGACAAAACTCAAATCCACAACCTCCTAGTAAGGTGCAAGGGTTTTTTGGCTAACAGGGCTAGCCCTAGTTGGTTCAGATAGAAGAACCTTTAATGTCCCGTTTAGTTCCCCCTGCCCCCCAAAACTTTCCTTGAGGCATTCGGAAGGATGTCTTTTCCTTTCTTTGTACTCCTTTATCTCTTAATAGTCGCATTCATATAAATGAACAAAACAAAGAATTTTGTCCAATTACCAGAAAACACTAATATCCTAGCGAATTGCATATTGACACGGATGTTCTAAAATATGGTACACTATCGTTCCAAAACGGTAAATTTAGTGATTTGAAGCGATCTCAAAAGTTTTTTTCCAATATATTTCTTTAAATGTTATCTTAGGAGAAAAAAATCAAATATATAAACTAAAATCACTTGACACAAACCAATACCTTTCTTTAAACCACACCCATAAGAACCAACCACCTCCCCTAACCCCCATTCCCCTTACCCAAACCATACTTACCAGCCACCACCAGTCTCCATACCCGGTTCGGCTCCAACGCAAAACGCCACAACCACTAACCCAACAAAGCTTTGTTGAACATAACTAGACTCCGAACCCCTAATCCTCTTTCATCTTTTGGTTAGAAAATCCACCCCCAATCCACCAAATGATAATGGAAAGCACCTCCCCCACTATCCCACAGAAAATCTCGCTGGAGCTTCTCTATCCGCCATGCCACACTCTTAATCAAAGTCAACCTACCCCATTTGGAAAGATATTGTCGTTTCCAACTTGCCAGCCGACGTTGAATCCGCTCCAACACTCCATCTCATATCCCTTTGGCCTTAAACGTTGCCCCCAAAGGCAAACCCAAATAAGTAGCTAGCAAAGTCGATTCCTTACAACCCAACACCACCGCTAAAACTGATAATCTGTCCACAGTTCCCACTGGGATCATCTCCGACTTCCTCAAATTCACCCGAAGGCCTGAAACTGCCTCAAAACACAACATGACACATCTCAAATAACCCACTTGCTTTGTCACTGCCCCACAAAAGATCAAGGCATCATCAAAATACAAAAATATATTTAAAGAAATATATTTGATTTTTTTTTTCTGGGAGATGGTGAGGTTTCGGGTAGGTGATGGGGGAGAGTGCGTTTTAGGCAGAATAGGTGGTGTGGTGAGGCTTTGCTAACAGATCAATTTCCTCTGATTTTTAAAATTGTAGGGGAGCAGAAAGCTATGGTGGCATTATATTTGCAGGGTAAGGATGTGATGGTTTGGGATATTCGTCTGCGACGGTCGGTCCAAGATTGTGAGGAAGATCAATTGTTGGATTTATGGGGTTTCTTGTATGGGTTAGGGGAGACTGGGGTGGGAGAGTATGTTATGGGGTGGAATGTTGTGGGGACTAAGGGGTGCTTCTCTATTTTGCCTTACCACCGAAGCCTGGTGGGGGAGGTGAAACGGGATTTTCCTTGGTGGAGTATTTGGGTCCCGGGGGTTCCTTCTAAGGTAGTTTTCTTCATGTGAACGGTGGCTTTAGGACGGAATCTTATGATTGATAATCTGGTGCGACGCGGTCATTTTTTAGTCAATCGGTGTTGTATGTGTTACGCTAACCCTGAGCCAATGGATCATTTGTTTTTGCATTTTCCGATGGCTAGTCGTCTGTGGGGAATCATTGTCACGAGCCAAACCCGCCCCTATAGGTTTAGTGTTGTAACCGGCCAGTAATCCGTGGATTACCAATGGCCTCTTGACAAAACAACATATAGTAAGAGGCTACGGAAGCAAATATAGAGAATATACAATGTCCATAGAGCTATGTTAACATATATGAAACGAAAAACTTCAAAACGAACTTGTATATATATATATAAAGTCATAAATACATTAACCATGCGTCATCCATTCATAAGGATGAAACCAAAAGGGGACTTAGCCCAGTTTACAGATAAGCAAACAAGCAAAAACAATTGTGGTAAAGTTACAAACTGGACATCTCGAAAGGGAACCTCCCCGGGAGGCACAGAAGGGTGGCTGACAAAAAATGAGACACCCGATCATCAACTCTGTGCTTGGTCATGTGTCTGCTCACCTACATACATAATATAAATAGTGAGCTAGAGCTCAGTGAATAATAACAAAGTAAAGGGTTCTAATGAATGATGTCTATAACCGAATCGAAAACTAAAATTCATAACAAAAATAGATTTATATTCATTTTCTTGTTCAACTTCATACAGAAATCAAAGTTCATGCTTCGATATACATGGTACATCCATTAGCGTTAACTTGCTTGTTAGTTCCATTGGGAACCTCTGATACCAGGAAACTTATAACTTGTTTGAACCACGGTATTGTTACTCCCGGGCAAGGGCCATGGTATTATTACCCCCGGGCAAGGGCCTTGCTTATAAAGGCACGATGTTGTTACCCCCGGGGAAAGGCCTTGTGCTAAGGATGCCACGAATACATTACAAAAATTTAGACAATCATTCATTCATACAAAACATTTCATTTTAGAACACTGATCATTCATAGCATCAAAAAATAATTAAAGTTAAACATAACTTTACAGAGTTATTACTCACTGATGGCTCCACTTGCAGAACAGGAAAATCAAATAACTTGATTCGCGTGACCTACACGTACATAGCAGAAACACATAATGAAACACTCACTCAGTTGGCACTTAACTTCTTTCATTTCATTCCTAGTGTGCTTCTAGGTCTTAACCTCGTATTGAGTCTTAATCATGGCCTAAGAATGCCTAGGATGGAATGGGGATGCAAAAATGCATTTGAAAACACTTGGTCAAATTTTCTGAAAACAAGGTCCCCACTCAAGCGTAGCTTCCCCTGCTCAAGCGGACAAGCAATGCGTAAGGGGAGCTCGAGCGCTCTGCAAATTTTGAAAAAAGTACTGGTTATGTGATTTTCACGCCCGACAGACGCTCGATAGTCACTCGAGCATGAGGCTTATGTCCTCGCTCGGGCGCAACTCTTGCCGCTTGAGCGGTCTGCAAAAACACGAAACTTCTGGGAGCATGTATTTCACGCTCGAGCGAACTTTTGGTCGTTGGAGTGGAAATGCAAAAACAAAGGTTGCCACTCGAGCGGAAGTGCAGAATCTGGAATTTCTAGATTGCACTCCCAAGCTCCAAATTTGAATTCCACACTTTAAAACTCTTCTTTTTGGGCCAAAATTCTGGAAAATATCCAAGAACTTGTAAAACATTATGATTTGAAGATCATTTCATGAAATCAAGGCCCAAAAGTATGTCAAACATGCTAAAATTCAATTTGAAATGTAAGAACATGGTATGAACATGACATACATGTGTTCACTTGAGTTCATGGCTTCTAAAACATGATCAAATGTGATCCATTGATGAGAAATGTTATGAATTCTTTAACTGATGCTAGAATTACAACATGCATGGGGAAAATCTTTTAAAACAACTTCAAAATGCTATAAATATGCAAGCATGTATGGAATGACTTAACTTTCTTCAATTCTAGCTCAATTCCTCCATGAATTCACCTAATTCACTTGTTTTCATACATTAATCAACTACATTACAAGGTCAAAGACTAAAACTCTTACCTAGAGTCTAAATTGCACAAGTGAGAAAGCTTCAATTCCCAAATTCTTTGCAAATCTCCAATAATTCTTAGCAATTCTCTCATATCCCAACTTTTGATCTCAATTTTCTTCTATCTCTCTCTCTCCCACGTTTTGCTTGTGTGTGTGAGCTCAAATGTGTTGAAATAAAAAAAAAAAGAAAAAGAGTGAAAGCATATAAGAAGCCTTATATAGGCTCACTTTAATGATAATTAAATGAGGCTAATTAAGTGGGCATTAAATTAATCTAATTTAGTCGTTCCGAATCGAATTTTAATTAAACCTACCATAATGTTCTAAAATTCCAAATAACACATAAATCAAGTCAATTTCTAAAATAGATGCCGATAAGACCTTCAATTCGCAAACCGAAACAGGAATCGTGAACAGATCTTTCTACGTTAAACAGATATAAACACATATAAGGCAACACATGATGCAACATTTCACTTTAATTACTTATTAGGCATAACTAAGCATGGATTAACGCTAATCATAGATCAGGGTTGTTACACTCATGTGCTCTCTTTTTGGGATGGCTTAGGTTCAACCGCAAAGAGTGGTGGATATGTTGTAGAGTTGCCGTGGAGCTTGGGTTAGTCGACGTCGACGGTGTGTGTGGTTATTGGTGCCTTTCTGTTTGATGTGGTTGGTTTGGTTAGAGCGCAATAGGCAAACTTTTCAAAAGGTCCACCACAGTGTTTCGTGGCTTGAGAGTTGTCTTCTTACAGTCTTGTATAGTTGGATGGAGGAGAACGTTGATTCTGATTTGTTTGATTTGTTAGATTTTTTAGATGACATCATTGGTTAGTAATTGGTAGTTTCCTTTGCAGTTTTGTATTATTTGCATCATCTTGATGCTTCATCAATAAAGTTAATTTATTTATCAAAAAAAAAAAAACTATGGTGAGTTAAGTTTTGAGAAGACAAAAACATAAAAAAATGAGTCATAATTTCCATAGGAATGATTTACTACATGAAAATAAATAAATAATTATTGTATACCTAATAGTTAAAAGAAAATTATTCTAGAAGTATCTTAAATTTTTAAATGTAATCTATGTAAGTCTACTCCTATCATACCACATTTTAAAGCATGTGGCGTACCACGTTCCCATTCCTGTTCTATATACCAGAACGATTCACGTTTTAGGTAACATAGGTTCAACAAAAGAAGAAAAATGAGAGATTTGACATTTCTCAAACTCTTAGTAGCAGGAATCGTTCAACTTGCTCACGATTCTTCCTCAAAAGCGCAATTTTGTGCTTCTAACTCAGATTCGTAGAAGAATCGCAAGTTTGATGCAAGAGAAGCGCGATTTTGCGCTATGTTTTGCCCTAAATACAAAAGAAACAAAATTTAATTTGAACACTGCATTCTCTATCGTTCAATTTTAATTTGAACACTAAACTATTTTGTTTAGCTGAAATTTAATTCAAATTATCTGACCAGAATATATAAAGGTAAAATTTCTTTTGTAGCTAGTTGTTATGTTGATGGTGAATAATTTTCACCTAAAGTGCTATTAGTATTGTCAGTATTTTTGAACATTGAAAA